CCCCACTCACGGCCTCCCTCCCTCCAGGCCACGGTATGCGCTGCTGGATGAGTGCACGAGTGCCGTGAGCATGGATGTTGAGGGCCACATTTTCCAGGCTGCCAAGGATGCTGGCATTGCGCTGCTATCCATTTCCCACCGACCCTCGCTCTGGTATGTGCCCTAACCTGCTGCTGCTCAGTGGTCAGTCTGGGCCAGTATGGGAATCCCCTCCCCCCTTCTTGGAGTGCCTTAGGTGGTACAAGGCAGGACCCCCTCCCCCCCACGTGCCAGTGACTTCTTCCCCAGGCTTCAAGGTGGTGCAGTCTGATGATAGCCCACGGCCCCCACCCTTGAGGTGGTACCTCTCTGTAACATCCCCCTTACAGCTGGCTAGGTGGTACAGTGCAATAACAGTCCTTACAACTCTGGAGGTAGTAGGTATGCCTCCCTTTTAGCCTTCGAGGTGGTGCAGTCCAATGACACCACCCCCTTACAGCTCTGGAGGTGGTAGAAGCTAGTAACCCCCCACCTTTTTAAGGTACTTTCCTAGTGAACCCCCCAGTCCTTGAAGTGGTGCAGTAGAGTAATGCCCCCAGGGCCCTTGGGTTGGTACATTCTAATAAACACTCTCACAGCCTTCAAGGTGGTACAGTCGAATGGAAACCCACCCCGAGGTCCTTGGTGTGGTACGATCCAGTGAACTTAACTTCAGTGTTTTGGTACAGCCCAAAAACTTGCCCTCCTCCTCTCCTGGAGGTTTTGAGTTGATCTGGCTTAGTTACCCCTTTGTGGTGGTGATGACCCATGAGACTTCCTATGGTGTGTCCCAATCCACCCCCGCCTAGCCCCGACCTCAGTATGGTATGGTCTGTTCACCCCTCCCCTTAAGGGTGCTTCGTTCCACTCTCATGTCATTCTATGATCTACACAACCCAGTGCTCCCCCAGCAGTGTGGTATAGTCCACTCTAGCACCCCCCCCACCACTTTGTTCTTGGTATGACCCTTGGTAAAGCCGGTATTCCCCTTGCCTCTCTAGCAGTACAGCCCAGGGGTCCCCCCCCCCTGTTCCTTCTGTGGCGCAGGCCAGCTTGCTTTGGTCTTTCTCACCACGGTGACCTCGCTCATTCCCACACTCCCAACCTGACGATTGTACAGTTTAATTTTTCAGGCCTCCTTGGCTGGGGGTGGGGCGACTGGTCAGGAGTGGGAGGTAGGGGCACTGGAGGCATATGGGAGGGGGTGCTGGGCAGGAGCAAAGGGCAGCACTTACCCTGTGCCCCCCCCAGGCGGTTCCACACTCACATGCTGCAGTTTGATGGAGGTGGGGGCTGGCGTCTGGACCCCCTGGATTCGGCCGCCCACAAGTCATTGACAGAGGAAAAGCAGCACCTTGAGGCCCAGCTGGCTTCTCTGCCTCGCACCCAGCTCCACCTCCACGACCTGCAGCACCTGCTGGGGGAGGAGGGGGGTAGCCCTAATCCCCACCAGGACAATCCTGAGCTCCCATAAACCCCTGATTCCTCCAGACCTTTATAGCCCTCCCCCCCCCAAGTGCCCTGCAACTCTCCCTCTAACTCCACAGTCCTGTCCCAGCCCTGATAGGTCCCACAAAACCCCCACCCTTCAAAGCTCCCTGGACCTTTTATAGGTCCTCAGACCCTCCCAGGCTCCCAGACGTGCCCAGGCCCTTCCTGCCCCGGAGACCCCTGGCCTCTAAGCCCTTGGACACATCCTTGCACTTAACCCTGTCCTCCCTGGGCAGGGCCAGGGATCTCCCAAAGCTGACTTGCCCCTGCTGCCCCCCACAGCCAGAGGGAGGGGGCTGAAGGATGGGCAGGGGACGGTCACACCCTTCCATCCTCCCCAGCTATGGGGGGTATCCCATAATACTACCCCCCAGGACATATGTGGTATGGGAGCCCCCCTCTCCCCCAGAGTGCCTTAAAGTACCAGTAAACAGCTCTGATGCTGCCCCCCCCTCGCCCTGTGTCTTCCACATCTGTGGGGAGGGAGGGTGTGTGGGGGGACTAGTATTTGGGCAGTACCCTCTCCCCCCATTGTGTGTTGTGTGGGACGACAAGATCCAGGTGTCTGGGCAGCTCCTCCCCCCAGGTATGTGGATAGGAGGACCCAGGTATCAGGTGATGTGTTGGGGGTGAGAACCAGGCATTTGGGGCATCCCCCGTCAGGTGTGTGCATTAAGGAACCCAGGAGTCTGGAGGAGTGTGGTGAAGTGGAATCCAAGTGTCAGCAGCTCTGCCCAGGTGCATGTATGGGGGAACCCATGTGTATGTATGGGGGAACCCATGTGTCTAGGGTGGGAGGGGAGATGGTTCAATGTCCCAGGGTTGGGAGGGGGAAAGTGCAGAAACCAGGTGCCCTGGCAGCTGTCCTCTCTGTAAGGTGCATATATGGGGGACCCAGGTGTCCAGGCAGCCCCTCTAAGTTTGTGTAGGGGGGAGGCTAGGTATCTGGGGCAGGGGGCCACACTCAGCCAAGATCTCTGCTAGATTCCAGGTGGGTTTATTGGGGGCACCAGGTTCCAGTAGATGATGCTGCCACCTAGGCCCAGATCCTGGGAGGGGTCAGGTGAGGTCAGCGTCAAGGGCGTAGAGCTGCAGCAACTCCCCCACGATCCGTGCCAGGTCAGCCTCCTCCAGGTCCTCGCTCAGTACCTGGGAAGGGGCGAGGCCTGGATGCCTGGGGTTCCCTCTGGCCCAGCTCCAGGGTTCCCTCCCCAGCCTGGACATCAGGCTCTTGGACATCTGGGTTCTCTTCTTACTCCAGGAGGGAGCACAGGGGAGCCCAAATACCTGGGTTCCTCCGCACAAGAAGGGCAGTGGGGGTAATGGGGACTAGAAGTACAGATGCCTGGGTTATGCGGCCTTACCTGCCACCAGGGAGTGGGAGTGCAGGGGGGCACAAGGCCGTAGCAGGCCAAAGCCAGGGCTAAGATGGCAGCTGCCAGGTGCTGGGGTGGGTGTTGCAGCCCCAAGGGCCCATGGTAGCTGTCCCGCAGCAGAGCCCAGGCGGCCCGTGTCACATGTGCTCTGCCCCATGCATGTCGGTTCAGCCACGGTTGCAGAGACAGCAAGTAATGTAGCAGGTACTGTGGAGGGGTGGTGGTGAAGGGGGGCCTAGGAACCTGGATCCACCCTCCCCCCCCCACCCAGGCCCCCTGCCCCGAGCCAGGAGAGAACCCAGGCCAGGAATCCAGGGGTTTTATCCTAGTTGTTAATCCCTTTGCCCACAGAACTCCTTACCCCCATTAACCCCTTCCCACCCCCTCATTCTTCCCCATTAACTCCTGGCAGATCACACCCCACCAACAATAAACCCCTTCCTGCTCCCTCATTCCCACCACTAACCCCTTCCTGCCCCACTTCCACATTCCCATCTGCCATTGATCCTTTCCTAACCCCACCTGGAGGAGTGTGGTGAAGTGGAATCAAGTGTCAGCAGCTAGCTGACACTAAGTAATTAATAGCCTCCTGGCTATTAATCCCCTCATTGCCCATTAACCCCTTCTCACCCTCCATCCCTGACTTCTTCCTCCCCTATTAGCCATTGACTCCTCCTTTTCCCACTTTGGCTTCTCCCCGCCCCCTCCCCATTATGCCTGTCCAGGCAGAGGGCTGCACCTTGTGTGGGTGTTGGAAGGAGACACGGAAGCAGAGGCATCGTAGCAGCAGTAGCTCGCACTGAGCCAGGCTGTCACGCAGCTCCCAGAACCGGGCATCCAGATCCAGGGGAGGGCTACTGGGGTGCAGGTACCTGTGGTGGGGGTAGGGGCAGTGAGTAGTGGGGCTGGTCTGGACAAGGGAGGGGCAGGAAAAAGCGGGGGGGTGGGGGGCGGCTGTTACCGGTGACAGACGTTGAGGACATCACGACTGCGCAGGTGCTGCTCCTCCACCTTCCCAGCCAGGTAGAGTGCTGTCATGGCGACCAGGTAGGGGTCAGTCCCACCCCCACCAGCTACTGTCCACCGGTGGTAGAGGGTACAAGCTGTGGCCAGTGGCACTGAGCGCAGCCCCAGCTTCACCCCTGCGCACAGGTGGGGAAAGGGTATTAGAAGGGCAAGGCCTGGTGTTATCTGTCAGTCCCCAGTAATGCCACCCCCCTCCAAATACACTCACCCGCCTCCATGATGAACCTGGCCACCTTGAAGTGGGTACGGGCCTCGGTCTTGTCACCCTCCAGGGGGCCCATGTGGTCCCTAACACCTCCACTAGCCTATGTGGAAAAAATAGGAAGGTGTGACATCATGCAATGTCAGGCACCAGGTAACATTACTCTTTTTCCCCTCCCTAAGGCTGCTAAGATGTTGCTTCCCTGGATTCCACATAGTGTGAGGAGGGGGTCTGGTGCTAGGACTCATGCCATCACATCACAGTGGCATGATGTCACCACCTTATGCCCCAGTGTTACATGCTATTTGATGCAGTATGCTGCTGTTACACCACAACGTTAATTAGGCCTGTGGTGATGGTACGTGACCTCTCTTAAAATGGACATCGGTCCCCTGGCCCCTAGGTGACATCAACCTATGCTGGCATGATTTAAAAAGCAATATCACCACCCAAGCCTGCCCCTGTACAAGAATGACATCACTTGAAGGCAATTATGATGTTCCAAGCTCCTGGCTGTTCCTTACCTGATATCACTACACAGGCTGATGACGTCACATAATCACCTGGGGCTCCCCTGTACCAGGGTGACATCACCTGGATATACGTATGCCATGACACCAGGCTCCCAACCACTCCTTACCACTGACATCACTGCAGAATGCGATCATGTCACGTGATGTCCCCACCCGCACCCCTGGTTTCCCACCTGCGATATCACACACCGATCTCACCCACAGCACGCAGCTGCATGACATCACACCATGGCTCGTTGCCGAGCAAGTTTTCCCTCCCCACCATAACCTTTGCCCTCTACCCAGCTGCATCATTCTTGCTCCTCTGGTCTGAGAAGTCACGTGACCTCCGCCTCCAGCCTCGTTTTCAGGCGGCTGCCGAGCACCTGGGACCCGGATGTATGCGGTTCTATGCGGCTGCGGAACCCCAGCATAGACTCACCGACGCGCTTTCGAGAACTCGCGGTCCTCTTGCCGTAGTTTGGGGCGGCCCACTCAGTGCCGGATGGGAAAGGCGCTCCCTACTTCGCCGTTCTCAGCGGTCAGAGTGGGGTAGGAGACGAATTACGTTCCCCCTCGGCTTGGATCTAAAGGTGATTCTTGCCCCCTGCCCCATTTCTGACAGGCATTCGCCAAGGACACCCGATCTCCGAAGGGAGGGCGGTCCTTGTAGTCTCTCGCCGCGGATTGGCTGCAGGCTGAGACGGGCCAACCAATCAGAACATGCGGTGCACGGTGGTCTCCCTACCTTCCGCGCGAGTCTCGTCTTCTCCGATTGGGTCAATCACGACGCTGTACTTCCCCGTTTGAGGCGTGTAGGCACCAGGCGTAAGGTCTACCCCTCCTCCCCTGCTTCTTTTCTTTGATTGGATGCGAGGAGGTGAGCGGAGATTGAGTGGGGCAACGGGCCAATCGCGGAGCGGGCGGGGGTGGGGGTTGCTCACGAGTCAGTCTTGATTGGCTCGCGGGGAGAGAGGTTGGGGGGGCAACTAAGACGCAGTATGGGGGCGGGCACTTGAGTTTTTCCCCGCTAGGGGGCGCCCGGGGCTGCGGGTCGGGAGTGTGGGGCAGCGGCAGGACCGGGCCCCTGTTGCCCGCGCCGGAGGTGAGAGCGGGGCTGGGACGAGGGCTCCGGGCCCGGCAGGATGGGGAGACCTGGATTTCGCGATCCCTGCCACGCGGGACTCGCCGGTCTGCGCGGGCGCCCGGGTTCTCCCTTGCGGCCGAGCGGGGTCGGAGCAGCCCGGGGCCGGTGCTGGGCCCGGACGCCTGGGTTCCCGCTCGCTCTGCGCCGGCCTCCCCTCCCCTGAGCTCCCCCATGTTGCCATGGCGACCGGTGCTGCCTGTAGGAGGGTGACGCCACCCTTGCCAGCCCGTCTCCGCAACCCCCCCGCTGCCAGGGAAGGGGCGTGCGGCCCCTGTGCCCAGACGGGCCCTCGCTCGGTCCGGCCCTGGGACGCTGGTGCGGGCTTCTCACGTTGGACCCCCAGAACCAGCCCTGGGGGGAGGAGAAACTGAGGCAGAGCAAGAGCTTCAGGGCTCCTAGCTCCTCCCCCCCAGGACCGGGTCTGGGCCGCAGGCCCCGCCCTGGGGCGGGCTGTACACACTGGCACGTGGAGTTTGGGGGAAGGGGAAGGGGAGGGGGACTGGTGCCATCTGCGGGCGCCGCAGCCTCGGAGGCGGTGCTGCTGGGAGCACACGCGTTTCCCAACCCCCCCCCTCTGCAACCAGCACACGCGTGTGCCTGCCACCCCCAGCCCAGGCGGGAGCGTGACTGGGGGAGGGGCTGGGTAGCCACAGCCCCAGTCACTCCTGTCTTAACAGGCTTACAGACAGATAGGGACAGAGCTCGGGTCCCCATCGCAGATCCTCCATGGGCATGGGGCTTCGGGGCAGGGGCTGAAGGCACTGGCACCAGGTGAGTCAGATGTTTAGATTCTCTGAGTTGAGGGTGGGGAGTGGCTGGGAGCTCAGAGCCTGAATTTTGGGGTTCTCTAGGGTGGGAGATGGGGACTGAGAGCCAGCCTGGACACCTGGGTTCTCTGGGGCAGGAGTTGGAGCTGGGAGCTCAGAGCCTGGATGCCTGAGTCTTTGGCTCCCTCTTCCCCCCACTCCCCTTTGTCCCTCAGTTTCCCCTTTGCTAGGATCTGAGAACCCATGGGGGGACTAGTCCCATCTGGTATGGCAGGGAGGCTGTCAGGGGGCATGGGCAGCTGAATGGTTAACAGTTGCAGCACTGTGCATGCTGGGGGTTAAAAATAGCAGCTACCAGCAGGGGAGAGGGAGCTGGACCTGAGTTTTCTGGGAGGGGAATTGGGGATAGTCCTATGAGAGCTTGGGGCTGGGAGCCCAGACACCTGTGTTTGGTGGGAGTGGGGGAACGAACCCCATTGGGGTGGCAGCCCAGGGGAACCCAGGCATCCGGAGGTAACCCAGGAGGTACAGCTAGGAGGTAACCCAGGTGGTCTGGTCTTCCTGCCCTCCCCTAGCTCTAACACCATACTCAAGACCCTAAGCTGAGACCCAAGGTGTCCAGGTCCCAGCCCCTCTCTCCCCACTGGCAGAACAGAACCCAGACATCTGGGCTAGCAGCAGCTGACGCCTGCGGTTTGGAGCATCTATTATTTATGGCAGTGCCAATTCCAGGATGACATCATGCCCTTGGGACCCTTCACCCCAGGAAGAGGCGTGGGGGCGAGTGTGCTGTAGGTCAGGAGTGAGGGGCACTGCAGGCTATGGGTGGGTTGCCAGTGGGGAGTGAAGGGAACCATGAGGTGATGAGGGGGTAGCAGGTCAGGAGTGAGTGGAATTAGGGGGCTGGGAGGGGTGTGCAGGTTGGAAGTGAGGGGCACTTTGGGAGTGTGGTGCCTGTTGGTGAGTGAGGGGCCCTGCTGTGACCCCCTGTGTCTCTCCCTACAGGTGCACACAGGGTGTGGGCCAGACCGGGCCATGGGGCCAGGGTGATGGAGGAGGCGGGACTGGGGCGGTCAGGGTGCTGGCTGCAGGCCCAGCTGGTGGCAGGGGCACGGCTGCAGGTGCTGGACCTGCGGGGGCGTGAGCGCTACGAGGCTGGGCACGTGGTTCAGGCACTGAGTGTGGCTCTGCCTGGCCTGCTGCTGCGCCGCCTGCGCCGGGGGCAGTTACCCACACGAGCCTTGTTGCCTCGCCCCCCTGGCCCGGTGCTGCTGTACGACGAGGCCACAGCCACCCTGCCCCTGCCCACGGAGCCCGAGCCTGAGCCCCTGCTGGTCACCTTGCTGCGCCAGCTGCGCCGGGAGGGCTGTGCTGCCTACTTTTTGCTGGGTAAGGATGGGAGTGGGGCCTGCTTGAAGTCAGGGCTTAGATCAGGGTCTGAGGGGCAGGACCTGCCCCATGACTCTGCCCCTCATACCAGGTAAGAGGTGTGGCCTACACCCTAAGTGGGGGGCCTGGCCTGCTGGTAACTCCACCCTCAGATTGGGGGATGAAGGGCATGGTCTGCACCCATATTGGGGGCTGGGAGGCATGGTTGGCCATTGGCACCACCCCATGGCTGGTAAAGAGTATGGCCTGTGCCCTCAGTGGGGTATTAGGGGCATGGCCTGCATTGTGGCTCTGCTCCCAGATGGGTGAGAGGTGTGGCCTGGCCCTGAGTCAGGAAGCAAGAGATGTGGCCTGCCCCATGGCACCACTCCTAGATTGTGTGTGGGCAGGGTGGGGTATGGCCAGTGCCTCTAATAGCCCCCATTTCTCCTGCCCCCACTTTGTTACCATAATACCCTTAAAACTGACCCCTAACTTTTTTGCTCCTTGTTATCATAGTGCTTCTAAGACCCACCCCTTAATTTTTACTGCTCCTTTGCTACAGTAAAGCCCCTAAGAGACCCCCAATTTCTTTTGCTCTCCATTGCTACTGTATTGCCTCTAAGAGTGTCCCCCTATTGCTACTGTAAGGCCCTAAGAGCCATCCTTTAAATTTTCCTGCTTTCCTTTGCTCCCATATTGCTTCTAGGACCCATGCCCCCAATTTCTCCTGCTCCCCCATTGCTACCATTATGACCCTAATGCCAACCCCCAAATCCTCCTGTCCTCTCCAGCTGCTACTGCAGTTCCCCTAAGAATGATCCCCTAATTTCTTCTGCCCCTGTTGCAACCATAGCGCCCCTAAGAGCCATCCCCCAAGTTCTTCTGCCCCTGCCCTTGCTGCTGTAATGCATTCAAGATTAATGCCCCACCTCTTCCTTTCTCTCCACAGGTGGCTACTCCAAGTTCCAGGCAGAGTGGCCAGAGTACTGTGAGAGCAGCCAGGCAGTACCTGGCTCCGGGCTCCCAGCAGCAGTGGGGGGAGGTGTGGTGGGTCTGGGGGGTTTGAGCCTGGGCTCGGATGGAGACTCAGGCTCACCGAGTAGCAGTGGTGGGGGAGATTCGGCGGGTCCCAGCCCCCCGCCCCCACACCCAGTGCAGATTCTGCCCCACCTATATCTGGGAGGGGCCCGAGATGCAGCCGACCATGAGGCCCTGGCCCGCCTGGGTATCCGTTATGTGCTCAACGTCACACCCAACTTGCCCAACCTCTTTGCTGAGCACGGTGGCTTCCACTACAAGCAAATCCCCATCTCTGACCACTGGAGCCAAAACCTGGCCCGCTTCTTCCCCGAAGCCATTGCTTTCATCGGTGAGTGCCCCCCGCTCCCCGAGACCTACCCCTTCCCCCAGGCCACTTCTTTCATTAGCAAGGACCCCCAGTCCCTCCCCTCCACTGGCCACCGCTCATCACCAGCTCCTCCTCCTCATTGATTGCAGTCCATCCCCATTTCTGGTGGTGTCTTGTCTGTTTGTCCCACCCCCTTCCCTCCGCCGACACCGTTGCATTGCCCCTGGCCCCTTCTCTTATGTCCTCTTCCCCTCTATGCAAGGGCGTGCAGATGTTCCTCTGTCTCTGCCTCCTTCCTACCCACGCTGGTCACAGTCTGTTGTTATTTCTTTTCCCCCCATGGGGTCCATCCCTCAATTGACGTAAGTTGTCCCCCTCTCCCTTCCCCCTCATTTTGATTGTGGTCCGTTGCTGCCTCCCTCCCCCCATTGTTCACTCTGGTCCACCCTCATTTGGGGGAGAGATGGATGGATGGGAATGGATTGTGGTCAGTGTGGTCTGTCCCCATTTTCTTTCCCCTTCCCATATTGAGCACAGTCCATTCCCATTTCCCTTCCCCTTCTGCAGTGACTGTGCTCCATCTGCACATGGTCTGTCCCCATCTTCCTTCCTCCCTACATTGACTGCAGTCTGTCCCCATATGGATGTGGTCTGTTCCCTTCTCCATTCCCTCCCAAATTGACCATGGTCCATCCCAGTCTCCCTTCCCTTCACATGTTAACTGTTGTCATTTTCCACATTCATGCAGTCTGTCCTCCTCTCCTTTTCCCCCCCACATCAACTATGGTCCGTTCTTCTCTCTCTTCCCCCAGCACTGACTCCACTCCATTTCCATATCAATATGGTATGTCCCCATTTCCCTTCCCTGCGTATCAACTTCACAGTCCATTCCCATTTTCCTTCCCCCCAACACACTGAACACAGTCACTTCCCACACTGATGTGGTCTGTCCCCATCTCCCTTCCCCCCACATTGATTGTGATTCATCCTGTCTCCCTTCCCCCAACATTGACTGCACTCTATACACATATCAACATGGTTCATATCCATCTCTCTCCTTCCCCC